TCTAATGTTGTGAATAGACTTAATTATCTGTTCACAACTTTTAAAAATGGCTAAACATGGCTGAGCGTGGTGGCTCATGCCAAAATCCCAGCACCTTGGGAGGACGAGGCGGGTGTATCACTGAGGATAGGATTTTGATACCAGCCTGGCTGATATGTGAAACTCCATCTCTACTAAGAAATACAAAAATCAGTCAGGTGTGGTGGCAGGCGCTTGTAATCCCAACTACTCAGGAGGCTGAGGCAGAAAAATCGCTTGAACCTGGGAGGTGGAGGTTGCAGTGAGCCCAGATTTCACTACTGCACTCCAGCCTGGGTGATAGAGTGAGACCCGTCTCAAAAAAGAAAAAAAGAAAAAAAAAAAGCAATGGCTAAACATTATTTTTAAAATCAAAACCATTTCAAAGCCCTTACTTCACTGGATCCTCAGCCAGGGCTGCCCCCAGAGCAGAAGGCAGCTGTGGGAAGCAGAGGGGTGGCCCCACCTCCACCTGGAAGATTCCTGCTCAGATCCTGGGTCACCTGCCCCACTGATGATGCCCCAGCTGCTCCTGCTGGGAAGCCGAACCCAGAACCCCCTCAGGTCTGGTCCCCACTCCACCCCCAGCACCCCTAGTGTGGTCATGTGGGAGGATGGGGCCCGAGGCTGCAAGGGCGGAAGCAGGTGGGTCAAAGCTCACTTCGCCCGCCTGCAGGTGTTGGTCTTTGTTTTTTAAACCAAACAGAGCAGATAGACGCAAGGAAGCAAAAATGACTCAAACTCTGGGTGAGCCAGAGCCTGTGGAGGCGGCAGCTCTCCCAGCACTGGGGACATGCCCAAGGCTGGCTTTGGGGTCAAAGAATAATCAAAGATGACACTTTGGGGCTGCCCTCTCCCCAGCCCTCCTGGGCAAAGTCGGTGCATCCGAGGAGTCAGCCTGGACTCGAACCTCTGACACCCGACCGCTACTGGCCTTGGTGCCGGGACCCGAAAGGGTGAGAGGACACAGGGAGGGGTGTGGAGGGGGAGAGCAGCCGGACTCTGCCCAAGCAATTTAGGCGCCTGCCTCATCTGTGGTCCCCCACACCTCCAGCTCACCGAGCAGAGGAACAGCCCCTGGAAATCCCCAGGGAGATGGGGCCCAGGGATTTCGGTGAGGCCCTGCACCCAGGCTAGCTGCGCCCCACCTGAGGGAAGAGTCACTCCAGTCCCTCTGGGCTGGTCCATGTGCAACCACGGTAGGACACAGGTCATCTCCATTGAAACGAAGAGGGAGGAAGGGTGTGCCTCCCTGCTCCTTCCCCACCCTCGCAGGGAGGGGCGGTTGCCCTTAGCAACGGGATGCCCACGTGGGATACTGGAAGTCTCAGCCTACCCCACCCCACCCCTCCAGGCCCGGTTTCTCCTGGGTGCAAAGGGTTACTTCAGAGCTGTCGGGCCTCCAGAGCAGCACATTAAATGTTTTGGAAACTAGGAGATGTGGCACTGAATAGCCATCCTGTCCTCCTGACCCAGGGAAAACCAACTTCTGTTTGGAAGGAGCACAGGGTGGCGCCTGGCCTTTGGAGTCAGGAAGAACCAGGCTTAAGTAGTAGAACTGCCTGACCTCCAGCTTGTCACTTCAGCTCCCAGGTCCGTTCTTGATTTGGGTTGACTGGGTGGGGCACATAAGAAGCTGCGTTCATTCTTTCTTGCCCCTCAGGCATCCTGTGCTCTCAGGGTGCTGGGCGTTGTTTCAGGTCCCAGTACACAGCACAGAGGGAAGAGAGTGCCTGATAGCATGGTGATTGGTCTTAGTGGGGACAGCTAGACACTAAACCAGGAGTTCTGTCACGCCAGTCGGTGATAAATTCACTTGAAGAAATTTCCACTTCCAGGCAAGGTAGAACAGATGCACCTGTCCCCATGCCCTATACTAAGGACAGTTAAAATCCCTGTATATTTCCCTGGATATCACACATACGTATATAACTACGTACGTAAATGTATATATATATATATCAAACACTAAAAGGTGGAGAGAAGAAGGCAGACCAGGTAGCGACCTTGGGACCTGAGGAATGACATGACAGGAGTTCCCTGGATTTTCTTTCTGCCTCATATATCTGTGACTGTGTGCTGGAGAAGCCAGCAACATGAAACACCAAAAGGCACAGACAAAAAACAACAACAAACCCAACAAGCTGGCCCTCAGCCAAAATAGCTAGGCAAGAAGAAGAAATAAAAGGTATCCAAATTGGAAAGGAAGAAGCTAAATTGTCCCTGTTTAGAGATGACGTGATCTTAAAGAAAACCCTAAAGATTCCACCAACAAGCTGTTAAAATAAATGAAATCAGTAAAGTTGCAGGATATAAAACTAACATACAACAATCTGTAGCATTTCTATACCCTAACAAAGAAATCAAGAAAACAATCTCATTTACAATAGCTACAAAAAATACTTGCGAATAAATCTAACCAAGGAAGTGAAAGATCTGTATGCTGAAAACTATAAAACATTTGTGAAAGAAATTGAAGATACAAATAATTAGAAAGTTATCCCATATCTGAGATCAGGTGCCAAAAAAAAGACATCCCATGTTCATGAATTGGAAGAATTAATATTGTTAAACTGTCCATACAGCCTCAAACAATCTACAGATTTAATGCAATCCCTATCAAAATTTCATTGACATTTTTCACCAAAATAAATAAAATAATCCTAAAATTCGTATGAGGGAGTAACACCCGCTCCACAGTGGCCAAAGCACTGTCAGGTGCCACATGCAGCCTGTAGGACATGTGGACTGCAGTACTGGCCCCACCTAAAGTACCGTAGAGGCCCAAGAGACATGAGCCAGGGCCATTTTAACTGTCAGTAATGGCCACAAAGACCCTTAAATAGCCAAAGCAATCTTAAGCTAAGAGCGAAGCTGGAGACAATATATACTTCAAAATATACTACAAAGCTATAATAATCAAAACAGCATGGGATTGGCATAAAAACAAACAGACCAAAGGAACAGAATAGAGAGCCCAGAAGTGAATCCAGGCATTTACAGTCAACTGATTTTTGACAGAAATGCCAAGAAACACAATGGAGAAATGATAGTCTCTTCAATAAATGATGTTGGGGCCAGGTGCAGTGGCTCATGCTTATAATCCTAGCACTTTGGGATGCCAAGGTGGAAGGACCACTTAAGGCCTTCCTCCAGGCTCCAGAAGAGACCTCCTCCATGATCCCTTGTTTAAGGGGAAGCTTCCTCAGGACCTCACTGTGGGGGCTGAAGGTGGCCGCCCCTCCAGGGACTTATGCCCCAGGCACTGAATTCCAGCTGCCTAAGTCTGTGTGCATGCATCTGTGTTTCTGTGCATGTCTGCATGTCTATGTATCTGTGTGTGTGCATGTCTGCATGTCTATGTGTCTGTGTGTCTGCATGCATGTCTGTGTGTCTGTGTGGTCTTATGTGTCTGTCTGTGCACTTCTGTATGTCTTTCTCTGTGCATTTTTGCATGTGTCTCCGTGTGTCTCTGTGCATGTCTGTCTATATGTGTGTGTCTTTGTATCTGTGTCTGTGTGTGTCTCCGTGCATGTCTTTCTGTGTGTGTCTTTCTGTGTATGGCTGTGTGTCTGTGTCTCTGTGTGTGTCTCTGTGTGTCTGTGTATGTAATGGCGCGTCTCTGTGGCAGGAAGAGGTGTGTGCGATTGTGTGTCTGTGTCTTTCTCTGTCTGTGTGTGTAATGGTGTGTCTCTGTGGAAGGGAGGGGGTGTGATTGTGTGTCTGTGTGTGTCTTTCTGTGTACGTCTGTGTATGTAACAGTGTGTCTCTGTGGTGGGGAGGGGGGTGTATGTGATTGTGTGTCTGTGTGTGTCTTTCTATGTGTGTGTGTAATGGTGTGTCTCTGTGGTGGGGAGGGGGTGTGTGTGATTGTGTGTCTGTGTGTGTCTGTGTATGTGTGTGTAATGATGTGTCTCTGTGGCGGAAAGGGGGTATGTGTGATTGTGTGTCTGTGTGTGTCTGTGTGTGTAATGGTTTGTCTCTGTGGGAGGGAGGAGGTGTGTGTGATTTTGTGTCTGTGTCTTTCTGTGTGTGTCTGTGTATGTAATGGTGTGTCTCTGTGGCAGGGAGGGGGTGTGTGATTGTGTATCTGTGTATGTAACAATGTAATGGTGTGTCTCTGTGACGGGGGGTGTGTGATTGTGTATCTGTGTATGTAACACTGTGTCTCTGTGGTGGGGAGGGAATGTGTGTGATTGTGTATCTGTGTATGTAACACTGTGTCTCTGTGGTGGGGAGGGAATGTGTGTGATTGTGTCCATGTGTGTCTTTCTGTGTGTATGTATGTAATGGTGTGTCTCTGTGGCAGGGAGGGGGTGTGTGTGATTTTGCGTTTGTGTGTGTCTGTGTATGTAATGGTGTGTCTCTGTGACGGGGGGGGTGTGATTGTGTATCTGTGTATGTAACACTGTGTCTCTGTGGTGGGGAGGGAATGTGTGTGATTGTGTATCTGTGTATGTAACACTGTGTCTCTGTGGTGGGGAGGGAATGTGTGTGATTGTGTCCATGTATGTCTTTCTGTGTGTATGTATGTAATGGTGTGTCTCTGTGGCAGGGAGGGGGGGTGTGTGATTGTGTGTCTGTGTGTGTCTTTCTGTGTGTATGTATGTAATGGTGTGTCTCTGTGGCAGGGAGGGGGTGTGTGATTGTGTATCTGTGTATGTAACAGTGTGTCTCTGTGGTGGGGAGGGAATGTGTGTGATTCTGTCTGTGCGTGACTTTCTGTGTCTGTGTATGTAATGGTGTGTTTCTGTGGCAGGGAGAGGGTGTGTGTGATTGTGTGTCTGTGTGTGTCTTTCTGTGTGTATGTATGTAATGGTGTGTCTCTGTGGCAGGGAGGGGGTGTGTGTGATTGTGTGTCTGTGTGTGCCTGTGTATGCAATGGTGTGTCTCTGTGGTGGGGAGGGGTATGTGTGATTGTGTGTCGGTGTATGTAATGGTGTGTCTCTGTGGCGGGGAGGGAATGTGTGTGATTGTGTGTCTGTGTGTCTTTCTGTGTGTGTCCGTGTATGTAATGGTGTGTCTCTGTGGCGGGAAGGGGATGTGTGTGATTTGAGGTGGGGGTGAGACCTAGGCTTCAGTTACTCGCAACAGGACAGACAAAGGAAGCAGCGTTTACCCGTTCCGCTAAAACCAAGGGCGGGAGGGGGACGGGGCTGGCGGGAGGGGGACGGGGCTGCCGGCAGCCCTCCCAGAGCCCCTGGCAGCCGCTCACGGGTTCCGGACCGCCTGGTGGTTCTTGGGCACCGCCGCGAACCTCAGCTTCCTCAGGACCGCAGGCCAGCCCAGCAGGTGCTGGTCCCACAGGTACTCGGGGGAGAGCACCTTGGTGGGTTTGTGGCGCAGCAGGTACTTGTTCAGGTGGCTCTCGTCGTGCCACACGGCCTCGATGCCGTTGGCCTGGTCGACCATCATGGCCTGGTGGCAGGCCCTGGTGAGCCGCTGCACCTCCTGCACCGACCCCCCGAAGAACGCCCCCATGTAGTAGAAATCACCCTCGTCCTTGGGGATGTAGGCCTGGGACTGGGGCCGGCGCTCGTAGGTGAAGGCCTCCCGGCTGCTTCCGTAGAAGGCGGGGTGCAGGGTGCCGAACAGCGGAGTCAGGATCTCCACGCCCACGTGGTCGCGGAACTCCATGTCCACGTCCGCGCACACCAGGTAATCCACCTCGCTGAGGAAGCGCCGCTCGCAGAAGTCGCTGATCATCTCCATGCGGCGCATGGACACATCCTGCCAGCGCTTATAGGCGCGCACCCCAAGCACCGACAGCTGCCGACCGGTCCCCAGCGCCACGCGCGGCACCGCAGCCGGCTGGTCGGTGAAGACGTAGTAGTGGACCCGGTGGCCCACCATGAAATGCTTCTCCGCCGTCTCCAGGAATAGCTTCAGGAAGGCCACGTATCTGCAAGGCAGGCGAACGAGGGCCTGGGGGAGCAGCCAGCCTTGTGCCCCTGGGCTGCAGGAGGCCCGCCCTGCGTGCACCCACCAGCGGCCATTGGAAGGCTCAGAGCAGCAGATGCACCACGTTCTCCTGCCCTGTCCTGAGCGACTGAGCACCACGTTCTCCTGCCCTGTCCTGTCCTCAGGCTCCGACTCACTTCATCCTCTTCTCAGTGATGGAGGGACCACCAGCACCCGCTCTTAGTAAGGAGGGCCGAGGGCAGGCCTCTGGAGGCTGGTAGCAGGCTGCAGGCTGGCGCCCGCTTACTCTCCCTCAGCCTGGCCTGAGCCATGCCTCCCCACAGAGCTGCCACTCTTACGGCCGGGCGGGCCACCTGCTCCCTCATTATAAGCTGCGCTGGAGGCCCCCACAGGCCGGCCTCTGCACCCTAGAGCTTCCCCCTCCCAGGCTTGAACTGCAGGTATTCCTAAGAGTAGGTCGTTCCTGGACTCCCTACTGGATCAGGAACCAGGCCTACCATGTGGGGGAAGGGAAGAAGGTGAACCCTGAAATAATAGGGGTGAGCAAGGGTTTGTTGAGGCCGCAAACCCCGAGTCCATGGTAGACCCTCTAGGCCCAAGTCAGGTGCCTCCCCCACCCCAGGACATTTTCTCCAACTGCCTCAGATGGCGGGTCCCTCCTTGAGGTCCCCCAGGGCCACCACCGTGGGGATGGGGGATCTCCCATCATTCAGCAAGTGTGCCCCTGAGGCCCCGAGTTTATGGAACAGGCATCGTGGCTGCTTTGCCCCAGCTGGCTCATTGGCAAACCACTCACAAGGGGTTTTACGGACCCGGCGAGCCCACGTGAGCTCAGTAAGATGCTGTGTGAATGAACTTTCCCATCTACCCTCTGGGAGGACAAGGCTGGCCGCCGCCCCACTCTGTCTTGAACACAAGGGGAGTCCGTGGTCACTTGTCACTGCCTGGGTCTCTGCCCCCAGCCACCTCACTGACTTACTTTTTGATGGCAAACACCTCACTGACTTACTTTTTGATGGCAAACACCTCACTGACTTACTTTTTGATGGCAAACACAGTTAACCCAATGGTGGTGTTCTGGAGCCTGAACTGCTCGTTGAGGATGTCGATGTTGAACGTGCCCTCCCAGACAATGGGAGCCAGCCAAGGGGTCACGACAAGGACGTCCTTCCTACTGCACATGGAGAGAGACGTGGGGTCACATGGAACTGGCAGGGTGCCACCCACCTGTGCCTCTGGCACACAGCCATCCCCACTTGGAAACTCCACTCAGCTTCCGCCTCCTTTGACCACCTTTCCAGAGGCAGCCACCCTTCCCCAGGAAACCAGCCAGAGGCAAATGCGACTCCAACTGGGCGAATCATTCCCAGCCCTCCCTCAACATTGGACCTGCCGCAACACAGAGGAAGCTGAGCTTTGCTGGCAGACATAGGAACCACCCCTCCCCCGCACCCTCCCCCCGCTGCCCCTCCCCAGGAAGGAGGTACCTATCAGGCCTTTGCAGGGGCTTTGGTGAGCAAAGGGACAGGAAACAAGAGACACAAGTCAAAGAAAGCAAAGGGAAAGAGGACAGCCATGTGGGCCTCCGAATTCAGATGTCAGGAGAACCTGAGAGGAGAGAATGGCAAAGCAGCCCCAACTGACATTTGCATCAAGGAAACCGCCCTCTAACACCGTCAGAACAGCCCCTTGAGCTGCGTTCAGTCTCAGCTTCACTAACTTTACTCACCAGGGTGTCAGCACCTTTGGCTGGGGATAGACCATCCTGCAAGCACAAAGTGCCATCACGTGAGTTTGCGTGGAAAGCGTGGGATGCAGGTAAGCAGGGGGTGTGCATAGCTGCTGAACTGTGACTGGGCGTCAACCCTCCCGCCAAGGCCACACTCTCGGGCTGGAATCGCTGTGGCTGCTCGGGGGCTGTGTCAGCTCATAATCCCAGGACCTCGGGGAAGGGCCGAAGCTCAGAGTCTCTGGTTCAGCGCTTGTAAACTGGCAAGAGGGACCAAGTGTCCTCAGGGGCCACTGCTTTGCACTTAAGGCTGGGAGGGACGTAAGGGGTTGTGTCTTAATTCACTGTGGGCAGACAGGAGGCTGGGTGTGTGGCCTCTGTCCCTTGTTGTTCCCAGGGAAAGGCCCTGAGATGTGCAGACTGCCCCACCTGGGCCCGAAGCCTGCTGGGCCTCCTTGTGGGCTGGTGGCTTCCAGAGCCCGGCCTCCTCTCTGAGAAGTGGGGGAGTACCACCTGCTCCACGGTGGCACGAAGCACTGTCAGGTGCCACACGCAGCCTGTGGGGACGTGTGGGCCCCAGTGCTGTCCCCACCTAAAGTACTGTAGAGGGCCAGGAGGCATGAGCCAGGGCCATTTCAGCTGTCAGTAATGGCCGCAATTTGAATGTCCAAGATGGCCTTTGAAAGCACGGAGTCAGCAGAAAACAGGAAGGAAATTCTCACACTTGGTACAACCTGGGTGGACTGTGAGGACATCACGCTCAGTGATTTGAACCCATTATAAAAAGACAAGTACCGTTGATTCCACTTATAAAAGGAAGTTCAAGTAGTCAGACTCGTAAGAACAGACCATGGAATGGTGAGCTGGGGCAGGGGAAATGGAGTTGTTATTTTATGGGGACACAGCTTCAGTTTTGCAAGATGAAAAGAGTTCTAGAGATGGATGGTGGTGATGGCTGCACAGCGATGTGAATGGACTGAACACTCCAAAATGACTAAGATGGCAAATTTTATGTTAAGTGTATTTTACCACAATTTAAAAAAAAAATCAAAAGCAGTGTGGCCAGCTTGGGACTGATTGCCTAGACTTTCTCAGGTTAGCACTGATATAGGCCCACATCTTGGGAAACGGGCCCCCAAGGCCCCAGACAGAACAGACCAGCTCGTCATCCTCTTTAAAAGCCAATTTGAAGGCCAGGTGCAGGGGCTCACGCCTGTAATCCCAGCACTTTGGGAGGCCGAGGCAGGCGGATCATTTGAAGTCAGGAGTTCAAGACTAGTCTGGCCAATGTGGTGAAATGCTGTCTCTGCTAAAAATACAAAAATTAGCCAGTTGTGGTGGTGGGCACCTGTAATCCCAGTTACTCGGGAGGCTGAGGCAGGAAAACCACTTGAGCCCAGGAGACAGAGGTTGCAGTGGGCAGAGATGGTGCCACTGCACTCCAGCCTGGGCAACAGAGTGAGACTCCATCACACACACATACACAAAAGCCAGCAACACGCAGCTGGTCAAAACTGAAGCTCCAGTTCCATCGTGCTCTCTGAGTAGCTGCAGGACGAGGGCCAAGTCAGGGCAGAGACTGGGGAACGAACAGCCTCCTCCCTCGGAGCCACAGGAGGAAAGAGGACCTGCCCCAGCTCGCACATGCTTCTGTCCACACGCACACATGTGCCAGGGCTGCAGGACAATTCTGTGACATGGGAGGCACTGACATTATACCTTGGCAATGAGACATGCTGCAGACCGTCTGGTTCCCTAAAAGCCATGCTGCAGAATGAGAACACAGGAGATGAAGTTTATTCCAGGAGCAGGATTTAGGGCACAAGTGCATGGAAGCCAGCTGAGGGTCCCAGTGGAAGGGACACAGCATCAGCCTGGAGCGTGGAGCAGAGTCCACCAGAAACAGTCACAGAACAGCCGTCACTGTGGTGATGGGCCTGGCATGGGCCCATATGCCAGACGCTGTAATGGCCACCGCTGCAGTCTGAGGTCTACGTTCGCGGAGCCTCACAGCCCACACATTCACCAGACACGTTGAAGCCAAGGCCGGGCAGCGTGGAGTTTCAGAACATATCTGCAAACCATGAGGCCCCCTCCCATCAACAGATGGGGTCTGATATTCCATGTTTCTAAGAAATAAAATGCAGCAGAAGTGATGCTGGGTGACTTCTGAAGCCAGGCCCTAAAAGGCGATCTGGTTTCTATCTCATCTTTCTTGGAATGTTGGTCTTGGAGCCTCCCAACAAAGCTGAGCAGGAGCCCAGGCCCCGGAGAGAGGCCCTAAGTAGGTGTCTCAGCTGAGAGCCAGCATCAACTGCCAGAGACACAGGGCAGTCTTTGCAATGACCCCAGCCACCGTCTGCCAATGCCTGCTGAGGCCCCAAAGTGAACCACCCAGCTGAGCCCAGTCCGCCCCAGGAGGCCCAGGGAGAGATAGTAATCAATGACTGTGATTGCTTTCCATGGATGGGGTGGTGTGTTCTGCAGCCATGGATCACTGACACAAGTGGAAATTAGCAGACACGGCAGGGGAGAGACAAGAGTGGTCTCAGCAGAGGCCATAGCACAGGCAAAGGCCTGGAGTCACGACAGCACGGCAGGTGGATGAGTGACAAGCCACTTTGGCTGGAGCATAGAGGGCGAGGGCAAAGGAGGGAGAGATGAGGCTGGGGAGGTCAGGAAGGCGGGATCAGACCATGAAGAGCCTCCTACCTTATATTCTGGAAAGATCACTCCAGCTGCTGTGAGGAGAAGGGGGACAGGGCTGACGGGGATGGGGAGACAAGTCTGAGGCTGTTGCAGAGATGAGGGCAGCCCCACCAGACCCCTGGAGCAGGACATCGAAGGCAGAGAGGCCAGTGGGCATGTGAGCTGCTGAAGAGCAGGGCTGGCAGGATTTGGGAACCCAGTGTAGGGGTGAGGGCAAAGGGAGAATTGAGGATGGCTGGTGGAAGGTGACTCGGGAGGTGGGGTGAGGGCAGGGAGCAGAGACCGTGTGTGGTAACTCTGGGTAAGCCTGGAGTTGGGGACTGGAGGTCAGAAGGGAGGTCAAGGCTGACTCCAGAGATGTGGAGGCAGACGTATCCAGGTGACCCTTCAAGGCCACAGAGTTGACCACGTCTATGCTGGGCAGAGCATCGAGAGGGGGCCTAGGCCTACCCATGTGTATGCCCAGAAGAGGGAGGGGGAGTTCCCAGAGTGGGACCCCAGCCCACAGCCAGCACCCCGGCCAGCATGGACGCTCCACCTGCCCTTCCCTGCACTCACCAGAACCCCCGTTCCAGGCTTCCTGGCATTAGGCTTCTGGGGCTTAGGACCCCGTAACTGCAGGAAGGAATTGTGCCAAGACTCAGGACACAGAACCAAGACTGCCTGTTCATCCCTTCCTCCAAAAAGCGCATGGTGTGGCCAGCAGCGTGAGCACAAGAGTTCCTGGTGAAGCTGCAAGGCCTCGAGGCAGGCAGGGCAAGTTCTCAGCAAAGCTCAGGCGCCTCGCCACGTCCCACACTGGGAGGTGGGTAGGAGGGTGGTCCCTGGGATATTACTCATGTATGGGCACCTGCAGGAGTGGCGGAGCCCCACCCCGCGCCACCCGTGCGTTGGTCAGTGTAGTCCCTAAGGCCACCTCAGGCAGTGTTTCCAGGCCGTATCCACAGATGCCCCAGTAGAGCGGGCAGATGACTTCATTCTGTGGTTCTGGGGCCTTCTGTGTCTGGAGGCGACTAACAGCTTGGGTCCCAGAATTGCCTTCCCCATCGCCAGCCACACAACTCTGGGCAAGAGGCTTGCTCTCCCAGCCCCAGACTCCCCACTCAGGAAAATTTTAAATGGGAGGGAGATGAGCCCGTTGCCCAGGTGAGGCTTAAATAAGGGAGCAAGTAAACACAACCTCCACCAGAGCTGGACGCGGGCAGCAACTGTCCTTAGGACCCTGATGACTGTAATGTTTGGGGGACTCAGGGGGGCCCCATGGGTCTGATTGGCTGCTGTGGCCACTTCTCCCCAAACCAGGCCAGTCTCGATGGTCAAATGTGTCTTACCCAAACAAGACCAAGACCAGCATCATTAAGAAAAGGATCATAGGTAGAAATGTGTAGCATTTTGGTTTTCCTGGAAAACAGGAGTGGAAAAATCAGATTACTCACCTTCCTTCTCTCACCTGCCCCACTTTACCTGTCCTGTCTTGTGATTCAGGCCCCACGTCTTGTGACGGGCCTTCACCTGCCAAGACGGTCCCTCTGCCCCACAGGTGATGCTTTGAGCCCCACCTGAGCATCTCCAAACCCAGTCCAGATCCAACCCTCCTCCCACTCAGAGAAGAGGGAGGCGGTCTGCTCCTCCCAGCTCATCAGCCCGACTGCTCCTGCAGACTCTGAGAGTCACCCCGGCTTCCCAATGACCTCCTTCCACTCAGCACCCCCTTCCCCTGGGAGACCGGAACGAACCACACTGAAATGGCACCTCGAGGTCACCGTTGAATCCACCGAGGGAGGCCAGGACAGCCTCATGGCCAGGCTGAGCCAGGAGCCCAGACCAGTTCCTGCCAGCGAGAGGAGCCACCAACTTCCCCTAGTATCTCCCTGCCCTCTCAGAGGCTCCTGCCCTGGAAACAATCATTGTCTTTCTTTTAAGGTGATTTTTATGTATATTAAAGTCATGTACAGTAGTTCCCCCTTATCCACGCCTTTGCTTGCCGGAGTTTCTGTTACCCATGCTCAACCAAAGCCCAATAATAGGTGAGTACAGTACAGTAAAATATTTTGAGGACAGGTCTGGTGGCTCGTGCCTATAATCCCAGGACTTTGGGAGGCTGAGCCAGGAGAATTGCTGGAAGCCAGCAGTTCTAGACCAGCCTGGGCAACATAGTGAGAGCTCATTTCTGTGGAAAAAAAAAAATATATTAGCGGGGCATAGTGGTGCACACCTCGGGTCCCAGGAGGCTGAGGTGGACTAGGAGGTGAAGGTTGCAGTGAGCCATGACTGCACCACTGCGCTCCTGCCTGGGTAGCAGAGTGATTGCTTTAAAAATAAACAAAACAGCCGGGCGTGGTGGCTCAAGCCTGTAATTCCAGCACTTTGGGAGGCCGAGACGGGCGGATCACGAGGTCAGGAGATCGAGACCATCCTGGGTAACATGGTGAAGCCCTGCCTCTACAAAAAACAAAAAAATACAAAAAAACTAGCCGGGCGAGGTGGCGGGTGCCTGTAGTCCCAGATACTCGGGAGGCTGAGGCAGGAGAATGGCGTAAACCCGGGAGGCGGAGCTTGCAGTGAGCCGAGATCGCGCCACTGCACTCCAGCCTGGGCGACAGAGCGAGACACCGTCTCAAAATAAATAAATAAATAAATAAATAAATAAACAAACAAAACAACAACAAAACCCCCACAAACTAAGATATATATACATATTTTTTTAGAGAGAGACCACATTCACATAACCTTTATTACAGTATATTGTTTTCGTTTTTGAGACAGAGTTTCGCTCTTGTTTCCCAGGCTGGAGTGCAAAGGGGCAACTGCGGCTCACTACGGCCTGCGCCTCCGGGGTTCAAGCAATTCTCCTCCCTGAGTCTCCCAAGTAGCTGGGTTTATAGGCATCCACCACCACGCCTGGCTAATTTTTTGTATTTTTAGTAGAGATGGGTTTCACCATGTTGGCCAGGGTGGTCTCGAACTCCTGACTTCAAGTGATCCACCTGCCTCGGACAGTATATTGTTATAATTGTTCTATTTTATTATTAATTATGGTTGTTAATCCCACCCTGTACTTAATTTCTCGGAACGTATCCCCTGCAGTAAGAGGGGACTTCTGTTTTCACAAGGGCAAGCCTGAAGGGCGTCTATCTCCCGGCCCAGTTCCTATTCCTTCCCCTGAAATCAGTCCCTTTCAACTAATTCATCTGTTACTTCTTATCTTATAATACTTGTGTGTATTTACCTCCACCTTTCTAAATCCTGTGGCCATGAAACAATTTATCTCGAATAGCTTCCTGAAACAGAAACGTGGGAGGCAACATTTGAACTTTACATGTCCTAAATGATTTTTACCATTTTTGTAGTTGGTAGATTGTTTGGCTGTAGGGAAATCTCAGTGGAAATAATTTTCCTTCAATTTGGCAAAAATGGTTCCATTTTTAAAAACTTTGAAAATTCATTTCATTTGAGGGAGAACTTACATCCAATGAAATGTACCCACTTTAGGTATATGGTTTTGATGAGTTTCACACAATGTAGGTACATGTGTAATCAGCACCCCAAACAACATATACACATTTTCATCACCCCAGTAAGGTCTCTCCTGACCCCGGCAACCACAGATCTGATTTCCTGGCGTCTCCCATAAACAGAATCGTCTGACGCATGCTCTTTTATGTCTGGCTGTATCACACGGCATGCTCTTTTGAAGATTTACCTATATTGTCACATGTATCAATTGTTCATTCTTTTTTATTGCCGAGAAGCACGCCATTGTTAATCCGCCACAATTCGTTTATCCTGTCTCTTATTGACAGACACTTTGATTTTTTCACTGTTTGGGGCCACTAGCAATAAAGCTTCTGTAAACACCCATGTGCAGGTTATTTGTGGACCTGTGTTTTTACTTCCCTTGAGTAAATACGAAGGAGTGGAAAAGATGGGTCACATGGTAAGTATATGTTTAACTTTGTAAGAAACTGCCAAACTGTGTTCCAAAGTGGTGACTGAATTTTCCATTCCCACCAGGAATGTATGAGAGCCATGGGTGCTCCACTTTCTTGCCAACACTTAGTGGTCACTCTTTTATGCTTTAGCCATGCTAGTGGATGAGTAGTGGTATCTAATTGTGGCCAATGACTAATTGTGGTCAATCATCTTTTCATGTATTTATTGGCCATTTGTTTGTTTCTTATGAAGCCTGTCCAAGTCTTTAGCTCATTTTATTAATATTTATTTACTTATATATATTTTTGGGGGACACGGTCCCACTCCAGTTGCCCAGGTTAGAGTGTGGTGGCATGATCATGGCTCACTGCAGCCTCAACTTCCTGGGCTCAGGTGATCCTCCCACCTCAGCCTTTTTAGTAGCTGGGACTACAGGCATGCACCACACCTAGCTAATTTTTTGTGATTTTGGTAGAGATAGGGTTTCACCATGTTGCCCAGGCTGGTCTTGGGAACTCCTGGACTTAAGCGATCCACCCCTCAGCCTTCCAATGTGCTGGGATTCCAGGCATAAGCCACCTCCCCCAGCCCTTTATTTTTATTTTTTTTAGAGATGTCACCCAGACTGAAGTACAGTGGCACGATCACAGCTCACTGCAACCTCGAATTCCTGGGCTTAAGCAATCTTTCCCCCTCAGCCTCCTGATTAGGTGGGACTATAGACATGCACCAACATGCCCGGCTAATTATTTTACTTTTTGTAGACACTGGGTCTCATTATAAATTATTTCTCTTTTTATTATTGAGCAGTAGAATTTATTTCTGTATTTTGGATACAAGTCCTTTGCCAAATACAAATATTACAAATATTTTCTCGCCAGCCACAGAAAGACAGATACTGCATGTTCTCACTTATCTGTAGTATCGAAACATCAAAACAATTAAACTCATGGAGATAGAGAATAGAAGGATTGTTCACAGAGACTTGGAAGGGTAGTGGCAGGGGTGGGAAGGTATGTAGGGATGGTTAACGGGTACAAAAAAGTAGAAAGAATGAATAAGACCCAGGGAGACTATAGTCAATAATAATTTAATTGTACATTTTAAAATAACTAAATGAGAGGTCGGGCACAGTGGCTCACACCTGTAATCTCAGCACTTTGGGAGGCAGAGGCAGGTGGATCATCTGAGGTCAGGAGTTCAAGACCGGCCTGGCCAACATGGGGAAATCTCATCTCTACTAAAAATACAAAAACTAAGGCCAGGCATGGTGGCTCATGCCTGTAATCCCAGCACTTTGGGAGGCCAAGGCAGGTGAATCACAAGGTCAGGCATTCGAGTCTAGCCTGACCGACATGGTAAAACCCTCGCCTCTACTAAAAATACAAAAAATTAGCCAGGCGTGGTGGCGCTTGCCTGTAATCCCAGCTACTTGGGAGTCTAAGGCAGGAGAATCTCTTGAACCTGGGAGACGGAGGTTGTAGTGAGCCAAAATTACGCCACTATACTCCAGCCTGGGCGACAGAGCGACACTCCATCTCAAAAAAATGAGAAAAAAAGTTTAAAAATACAAAAACTAGCTGGGCGTGGTGGTGGGCACCTATAGTCCCAGCTACTCAGGAAGCTGAGGCAGGAGAATCGCTTGAACCTGGGAGACGGAGGTTGCAGTGAGTTGAGATGGCGCCACTGCACTCCAGGTTGGGTGACAGAGCGAGACTCCGTCTCAAAAAAAAAAAAAAAAAAAAAGAATAAAAATAACTAAAAGTAAGTACAATTGAATTGTTTGTAACACAAAGGATAATTGCTCAAGGGGATGGATACCAGTTCTCCTTGATGTGAATTTTCCGTTGTATGAACCAAAATATCTCATGGACCCCATAAATGTGTACACTTACTATGAACCCATAAAAATGGAAAACAAAATACTTCTTAGGAAACAAATATTTTCTCTTAGTCTGTGGCTTATTTGTTCATTTTTCCTTAATTTTTCTTTTGAAGGGAAGTGTTAATTTTGATAAACTCTAATTTATCCTTATGAAAATGAAACCATTTTTAGGGTTTGAGCTTTTTTTGCCTCATCTATTAAATTTTTGCCCACCCCAAGTTCACGAATATTTTCACTTATTTTCTTCAGAATTCCATAATTTTCGTGTATGGTGTGAAAGGCTAAAGTCCCTTTCTTCCCCCAATGGATATCCAGTCATTTTAGCCATTTGAATTGAAAATACTTTCCTTTCTCCATCACATTACCTTACCACCCTTGTCAAAAAGCAACTATTTAAAAATCAATTGACTATATCTGTATGGGTCTGTTTCTAAACTCTGCATTCTATTCCACTGATCTATGTGTCTATCCTAATATCAACCTATTTGGATTACTGTAGCTGTGTAATCCACCTTGAAATCCAGCCTGGAA